GACAGAGGAGTGTCACTTAGCAGAAGAATACGAGCTGTCTGAGAATGAAGAGGGATGAGGCTGAATCCTGCTGCTTCTCCTCGCCACCATTATCCCACAGGAGAGCGACCTGTGGGGGGGCTGACACACAAATACACACACACGCACACACACTCTCGCTGGGAATCTCCTCAGCTGTTCCCTCCACACTCTGTCTCTTGCACCCTTCCTCCTCTTCCTCCTGCCCTCACGGCCCTAAACACCTCTGTTTGCCGGCTCTGGTTCCACTCGGCACCCGATCAGGGCCCCTGGCAGCTGACTGCAGGTTTCGGCCCAGGATTAAGCCTCCTAATGGCAGCCACTCTGTGATGATTTACACTGCATTACTGTACAAACCAGCGACAGCCTCCTTCTTACTAATGGTTTACTACACCGAAGCCTCTCCCGGCTTTATTGCTCTTTGCTCTCCGTATTTGAGGCTGGGGTCTAATTAAATAATTTAGCTGAATTACCAAACATGTGCCGAAACCCGTGTAGAGGAATTATTTTTGGCATCTGGCGAACTTGTTTTATGGCTTTTGTTGTAGTTTTATTTCTGCTCGGTCTGGAGTGTGACAGAATGGGAGCGATGATTGCAACAAATATTGTAAGTTTGTTAAAGTTCACGTCCTGTGGAAACTGCGCATCTTCAATCTGTCGGCTTTTCAAAATAATAGGCCCCTGAAAGCATTTTTAGGTTTATTTAACATCACGTTGACTCCCCCCCCCGTTTCACTCAGTAAGGGAATCAATTCGTTTACAAACTCTTGGTTTTCACTCCATGGGGGTGAATTCATGTTTTTACTTTTAAATTATGCTGGAACAAGAGGCTGACGCATATAAGACAAATAAATTTAAATCTTATAAATGAAAAAAAAAATCACACTTGGTGTCAACCTGCTGCAGCAGCTTACTTTTCTAGGTTTTCTTTAATGTAAGGCCTCTACTTATTTATAAAAGTCAAATGACACAATTACAAATCACGTTTGATCTTTCTGCATTGCTAGTTGAAATATTTCTTTAACTGTTGTAAAATGTTTCCTCCCAAGATTTTAAACCCATAAATATAAAACCTCCTTTTCACTGCACTTTTCTCCATATATATTTATTTAGTTATTATTTGGGGCTTATTCAAAGCCTTCACGAACACTAATCAATTACAAAAGCCTTACCTGAAAAAAAAAAGGAGAACATTTAAGTAGAAACTGAACCGCAGAGTGAGCATGCTCAGTGTGAGACAGGTATCTTTAATGCTGCAGAGCATTCCTCGGTGACAGCGGCTCAGCCTGCCTCTGAAGCCGCAGATATCTGCCCTACATTTGTCTAATCATCCCGGGCTTAACCCTCCTGCTGGCCTGCTATCTGCTCTATGTGTATGTGTGTGTGTGCATAAGACAGAGAGCTCTCCTGTCTCCTAATACCGGGGCTTAGTCATGTTTTGACTTTGTAATCAGGCACCTGGTTGGGCAGCACACAGGGGTCCTGAATCAGCTGGTAAGCCCTCCCAACCCTGGAAAATGCTTCTGGGGGAGCGTGATCGATGATGGACACAGTGGCTCTGGCCCGCATGCGTGTGTGTGCGTGTGTG